AGACAGCGTTTATAGTTTGCGCCAGGTGTGGAATGTGTAGAATGTACTGTCAAGACTGGTTACGTATCAATTGGCATATCCTTACATCTCGCGCTTTTGCGATCGCCGCGACGAGTAGCCATGCGGTCAACCGAATCGATTCGTATAATCTTCGTGATGTATTCCTCACATTTCGCTCTCTGCAAACTATAAAATCTGCTTAAGGCATTTCTTCGCATTTCCCTCGAAGGGACCATCACCTTTTTTTGCTTGATAAGGGATGTATCAATTTACGCTGTCCACTGCAGTGATAGCATGATCATTTAATGAAAACTTCTGGGATTTTTCTTCTTTGAGTGTTTCTGTCATCTTTCACCTTCATTTTCCTTCAAAAATTTCTTCGTTCTAACCTAACACGTTAACACGTGTTGGCTTTTGTGCGCTCATGTGAAATTATGACCGTTCTGTGGTTGATTTGGAACATGTATCTGTCCTCCTTTTCCCCTAGTAGATTTATGACCCAAGGTGGAAGTTCAGGCGCAATCGCAAGACATGGGAGCATCCTCTAGGACTAAGCCCAGGAGGGGGCAGGAACTTCGGGAAAATCCTGTAAACCCTCTCCACGCCTAAGCTTAATCCCGCTTCAACATAAGGCGGTATTCTAGACGGTGTACATTGTCACCAAAATGCTACCGTATCTTGTGGTAGCGCCCAAATGTTTCTAATTGTAATTTTTTATTTGAATTATTTTAGCATGTGGTGAAGATACTGCTTGAAAACGGTGCACAGGTGAACGCAACTACTGATGAAACAATGGAAACGGCACTTACGGTTGCAGCTTGTGGTGGATTTACGTAAGTGGATTACACAAACTGCCTAGACCATGATTGTGGGTCAGGAGATACCGAGAGCGGGCGAGGCAACTTCGTGAAGGAGGTCGCGGACCGACATTGGCAGTATGGATCGCAGGCCCTATTAAAAGCAACGAGTCCAGCAGGTTTTTGCCTTAGAAACTAGCGTGGTGGAACGATGCGCATGAGCCCTAGCAAAGGAAATGATAAGAGAAGAGGGTGGAAAGTTGTTGAACAAAAAACTCAATCCTTGGGAAAGCCGCTGAGGAAAAGGGAGTTTAGGTTTGATGGGTGTGTGGGTGCGAAGTTCGAGGTGGTTGGTTTGATCTGGGAAGGAAACCTGCGGGCGATTGTTACTTGTTTTAATCTTTGTGGCCGGCTGTCTAGTATATTAACCCAAATTCGTAAGTCGAGTATGGCAATGTAGGTGGTGTGTGTGGGTGGGATCGAGGAGGACTGTTTCGTGTTTGGAGTGTGTGAGTTTCACGAATCAGTGGCTCGTGCTTTGTTTAGATTATTGGGGGCAGCAGACCTTGTCGTATTGGAAAAGTAGTTTGCATGACATGACTTCAGTACCCATTGAGGCTTGCGGAAATATCCATATATTGTTTTGTGATGGGCGACGGACTTTTGGCTCGTCCGGTCTGGCACGCGGCAAATTGCGCGGCGAGCGGCGCGGCGATCCGGACGCTTCGCAGGAACTCAACACGTCAAAAGTGTGAAGATTGCGGATAAAATCTGCAAGGTTCTGCAATTCGAAATACGTCTGAACGCTTTCTTTGGAATTGTGTGTCTTAGTGGTGGCGTGTAACAGTAAGGAAGGAGATGAGAAGAGAGAAGGAACTATGCATAGTGCTGTTCGGCAATCAGGGGGTGCTCATGCCGTTGGGGGCATGTCCCATTGGGAGGGGGGGAGGGGAGGAAGGGAGTGAGCCAATTACTGTGTTCTGGAACCGAGCCTTCAGGGAGAGAGAAGGGATTCTGGAGTAATTTGTATTCTCCCTGGCGTTTCCTCCCCCTCTTGCTGGGACGTTGCGTTGTTCGCACACATGTTGTCTCGCCTGCGGGGACCGATGAACACACCGCCCGTTGAACAGCAGAAAATAGTATAGTCCGACAGTAAATATCTCAACAAAAACACCCAAATTTATTGACTCTTGTTTGCTTTGATGGCAGTAGTGAAATTTCCATGAAGTTTCTCACTCATATCCTTGCGCTGAAACCTCCTCACCGATACTGCTGCTTCAAATCTCCGCGAGTGGAAACATTTGCAGGACAGGCAGATTCATGCGTAGTTTATCGCATTGCGACGCGGTATTGATTAGTGTGCGAGTCTTACCCGGAGCATCGCGCGGAGCCATTGTCTTCGCCAGATCGGCGTCCGCGGTGCGCGCGGCAGGGGAACTTGCGCCGGGCGTTGCCGTATGTTTGCCTCGGCACGAGGCGCAAAAGTCATGGGGGCGCGCACGGCCTGGTTTTTTGAAGCGGTTATCGGCGCGTGCTCCTATAATATGTAGATGGTAACAAGTTTTATGCAGCATATACTATTAGCGGGGTTGAGGGGGTATCATTTGCGTGACGTTGGTAGTTTACGGGTGCGCGCCTGGAGTTAAAGCGGCAAGGCTCGTAGAGAGCTGAGGTTGGCGTCGGTAAATGTGTTATGTGGTGGCCATGAATATGTGAAGCTGGCTATAGGTAAGATGACGTTTGAATACATTTTCGCCTTGGTGGAGGAAGCAGGTGTGTTGGACGTTTTGGTGAAGAACGGAGGTGATTTGGGATTAGGCACGAATACTCCGCTAATGGAAGCAGCTCAGGAGGGGCATGCGTCTACTGTCAACTACATCCTCGCCGCAGTGAAACCGGTACGTGAAGGAATCTTAGATATAGCAGATACACTATTGGTAATTTCTTGGAAATTCCACATTTTAGGAAGACCGCTCTGTGAAGTTCCGTCAACAAATGGACCAAGCATTATCATTGGCATCGGAGAATGGCCATTTCGATGTTTTGCAAGTTCTCTACTCCAACGGTGCCGACTTGGTATGTATTGTAATGGGTTCTCATTGCCTCACATGATTGATTTACCAGTCACTATCGGTGTTGCATTGCCCTTTTCAGAATTTCGACTACGATGGGCGCACTGCTCTGATGAAGGCTGCGAAGAACGGGTTCTTAGAAATCGTTGAGTTTCTCGTGGCAAAAGGAGCAGATGTTCGTTTTACGTTCCCATTTAGATTTCCCATTCTTTCACGCGATAAAGTTTATTGTCTGTAGAAAATTTTCTGTTTCTCAGGTCAACTATAGATCTTCTAATGGAGACGCAACAGCGCTGTCTCTGGCGTGTTCTTCTGGACACAAAGAGATTGTGAAGCTCCTCCTGAAATGCGGTGCCGATCCTAACATCGAACTCAAGGTACAAAAGCTTTTAAACAGGGTTAGATGGTCAAAAAAGCTGGAGCCGTAAGCTTTTGAGATTTCCTTCCATCAAATTCCCGATTCAATTTCTACAGGATGGTGTAACTTGTGTGATGGAAGCAGCGAGGAACGGTTATGTTAATATCGTGGAGATGATGCTCGATCATAGCGGAGTTTTTCCTCAACCTCCTCGAGTATTGCCAAGCGGTACCGTCCCACAAACCGACAAAGGAAGTCCACCTGTTCCTCCTCCACCACCACCAACTCCCACCACATCCGCGAAAGTATGTAATTTTTCATAAATATTATATATCACTCTTCAACTTTACCATTCTTATATGATAGTATCGAGATTGTTGTTTACCACAACATTTCATGTCCTTTTTTGTTTATATTGGTTCTTGCAGCTACAGCAGACGGTTACTGCAATGCGTCGAGGGAAGAAAACATCCTCCGGTGCGGCTACTGCTGCTGTTGCTTCTCCAGCGTTGAACCTTGCGTCTGCTACTAACGCTCCCTTACCAAAGACAAGCTGTAATGTTCCTAATCCTGATCCTACGTATGGGCTATCAGGCTTTCCCGGTTCTCAGGTGCGTTTTTTCCTCATTTCTTTCCTTAAAAACCTTCAAGAGTTGGATGCAAAAAGTCCTAGTTTTCTATCGATACCCTGTCGCACGGTCTTTATTGGACGCGTACAA